AATATTTTCTGCTTTCTTTCCATTTTATATATATTGGCTTTAATCAATTAATATTTTCTGTACAATAGTAATAATATAAGGCACACAAGAATTATTAAAGCAAGTATTTATAAATAGGCAGAATCTGTTCTCCCTTGCACGAATTAATATGTGCTAAATAGATTAAGCTCACTTATATTCTTATTAAATATATTTCTTTCCTTGCAACAATGGGGGCATGGCATTGGCATTTACAATTTTTGGACTAGATGGTATTCATTATGTTGCACTGCAAAGGAGCTATAGCCTCAGTAAATTTAAAGCTACATAAAGATTCAAAAACTATGCCATACCATAAAATGATTAGACTTTTCCACCATTCATCATTTGATACTCATTAAAACCCATGCAAAAGTAGCCGAATCATCTGGTATAAACCAAGTATAAAATATTTTTTTATTTGTTTAACTGATAGACTTTGACTGAAGTCTGGAGTAGAAATTTGTGTGATTGTGACCCTCAGTAACATTTAACAATAACTTTATTAACTGTTTTTATTACAAAATTCCTCACTTATGAAGCAGTATGTATTTGGAGGTGTGTCTTTCACAGGAAAAACATCTTACCAAGTTTTTTTGTCGTCTTTTTAAGGACAGCAAGTACCACAGCGATGACTGCAACCAAGACCCCAACTGCCACACCAGTACCAATAATAATGGCATTGTTTCCCTTGTCCTCAAGAAGAGTGTGATCTAAAACAACAACAAAAACTTTGTCAGTTTTAGTTCACTTTGATTAGATCACCTATAGCTTACTTGTAACCAATAAAATTTTAAACCGATATCCATTTAGAATTCATAAGAACAAACCTGTAAAAAAAAACTGGTTCAAATTTATTTATTTTGTTCTTTCAATAGAAATATTTTGGATCAACTTAAAAAAAAAAAATCTTTATTTGTAAAGATAACCAGAATTAACTCTAGAAGTAAATATACCATGCTGTTTTTTATTATTAGTTTATTTGTGACTTGTTTGTTTTTTGAGCTGCACAGTGGTACAGTGGGAAGTGTTGCTGCCTTGCAGGAAGACGGTTGCAGGTTTGATTCTCTGCATGGAGTTTGCATGTTCTTCCTGAGCATGTGTGGGTTCTCTCCGGGTACTCCGGCTTCCTCCCACAGTCCAAAAACATGACTAGGTTAAATGGATCCCCTAAATTCCCCTTTGGTGTTAGTGTGTGCATGAGTTGTTGTTTGTCCTGTTTGTCTCTGTGTTGCCCTGCGACGGACTGGCGACCTGTCCAGGGTCCGTAGACAGCTGGAGATAGGCAAAAGCACCCCTCGTGACCCCAGCAGGGATCTGCTGTTAGCTGTACGAATACTAGAGTATGATCTATCACTTTCTTTTAGATATATTTTATCTTGCTTCTTCTGTGGGAAAGGTATGCTAATGGCTTTTACAGGTCTGTCAGTAAAGTAGGCTGTAGTGTGTTGATCATTCTGCATGGCTTTCATGAAAAATATGTTTAAAAATACCTGATCTTCTGTGTTAATCTACTGATGTATGATTTTTCTTTTCCACTTTTGACAAGTCTACTGTCAGATTGTCTCGTTTCCTACAGGCT